TATATATAAATTCCATCTGGCTTTATCCAGTTACTAAAAAATGATGAGAATATCATAAATAGTCATGTTTCATGATATTACCTTTGAAAAAATCATACTGTCAAGCAAAGAGAAAGGATAGATAACGGTGGGCACTCAGAAAATTATGTGTAACACAGATTCCCAGACAAGACTGTTTATGGATAACAATGTGCATTCCTTTAAATCACTTGCCTCTAACCAGTATTGCATGATAAAACGAAAAATATTTTATGTGCAGAATTAGAAAATGTTTTGTGTTTCTCTGTAGTCTATAACATTTTTTTTTTTTTTGAGACAGAGTTTTACCCTGTCACCTGGACTAGAGTGCAATGCCATCATCACTGCTCACCACAACCTCAAACTCCTGGGGTCAAGTGATCCTCCTGCCTCAGCTTTCTGAATAGCTTGGACTATAGGTCCACACATCCTACCTAGCTAGTTTTTCTATTTTTTGTAGAGATAGGGTCTTGCTCTTGCTCAGGTTACTCTTAAAGTCCTAGCCTCAAGCAAGCCTCCCGCATTGGCCTCCCAAAGTGCTAGGATTACAGGTATAAGCCACTGTATCCAGTCTCAATTCTTTTTTAATCTGTGGAAAATGAATGTTTCATGTTTCAACTAAAGTAAGGGATAGGATTAAGATGACTTAGGTTTCTCCAAACTTCATTTAAAGTTAGGTAAACTTAGGCCCTTCATAGGGCCTTAAAAGCAATGAGCAACGGAGAAAAATCTGGAATGTGGAAAAGAGAAATCACATATCTGTGGATTTGATCTGTTGTGAAGTGAATATGTGTTCCCCCCCAAAAAAAGAATTCCTATCTTGAAGTCCTAAACTCCCAGTGTTACTTCATCTGAAAATAGGACTTGTCCTAAGGAGGTGATAAAGGTTAAGTGAGGTCACGAAGGTAGGACCTCCATTCAGTATGGCTGGAGAGGAGTAGAACACAGCTAAAATTCTCTCTCTTTGCCACATGAAAACACAGTGAGAAGGCAGCTGTCTGCAGCCCAAGGAGGAGCTCTCACCCAATACCAACCCTGCTGGCACCTTCACCTTGGACTTTCAGCCCTCAGAACTGTGACACGAGGAATTTCTGTCATTTAAGTAACTCCATATTTTGTTACAGTAGTTCAGTCAGACTCAGAAAGATCACAGCACATTAGAGTAGAGATGTAAATGAAAGCTTCAAAACTCCTCAGAGAGAAAATATTATATTTCCAATTTAAAAGAGAAAGAAACAAAAATTTTTGAGATACATTCCCAATTTTGACTAATTGAAAATATACCAACAGTCTCTGACTTACAACTTTTTTACTTTACGATGGCTTTATCAGGACTTAATCCCACTGGAAAGCCAAGGAGCATCTACATGGATTTATTGGGGTATTAAATGCATTTTTTACTTATGGTGGGGTCAGTGGGACATAGCACCATCATAAATTAAGGAGCATCTATATGTATATACTTAATATCCCAAACTTAAGAAATATGAAAATAAAACAGAAAAAAAAGAACAGTAAGGAAGCTCTCAGCATAAACATTTCCATTTGCCTCAGCAAACAGTAGTACTTACCTGAGAAGTGTCGTTTTCTTCTGGCTCAATGAGATACGTGTGGTTCCCATCATAGAACATCCCACTGCCAAAGACAAGAAAATAATTAGGCATGACTAGCAACTCTTGTTTAAACTCAGCAGCAGTCAGAGGTCAAGTCTACCGCTCAATGTTCATTTCCCAGTCCCTCTCCATCACCACAAGATGTAACCACACACATTGCTGAGATGGCAAGACCCTCCCTCTGATTCCCCGTAAATAGGGTCCCCTCAATCTGACCCAAACCCATGCTCAGTTCTGCCATTCTTTAGCTGTTGTCCACTGCCCCCCCTCAACATATAATTCTAACACTGACATATGCAAAAATCCATGTGGACAGCCTATAAAAATTCAGGTCTTTCTGCACCCTCTCAGACTGATAGGCTGTGACTATAGGTGATCCTAATGCAGGCTGTCAGGGACAATACTGAGAATGACCTACCTACCACACACTGGAAGATTCTTGAATAAAGCAGGAGATGATCTAATACAAGGTGGGAGTGGGGGAATGAGGATCAGCGAGAGGAGAGGAGGGGGTGGGATGGGAGGTCATGCAGTATGGCACACCTCTTGGGGTGGGACACAATACAGGAGAGACTTTACCTAACAACTGCAATCAGTATAAACTAATTCTTTGTGTCCTCAATGAATCCCAAACAATAAAACACACACACACACATATTCAAACAACTTGCCAGGAGCTAACTACTTACACTCATTTAATCTTTCCTACAAATGTGTAAGAAAGGTACAATGACTATCCTCATTGTACAGCTGAGGAAACTGAAGCTTGAAGAGATGAGGGAGTAACTTGCTCAAATTACATAACCAGTAAAAAGAGAGGCTAGAGTAGGGCCCAGGCTGATGCGTCCATGTGTTGCTCATTTGCAACCTGCTACCCACCATTTATTCATTCAACACCTAGTTATAAGGCACCTACAATGCACTGCTCTAGGTGCTGGGGATACAGTAGCAAACAAAACTGACCAATTCTCTGTCCTCGTGATGCCAATGTACATTCTAAGGAGGACAGACAATAAATATTTAATAAGAAAGTAAATACATATTAGATAGTGGCATATTCTAGCAAGGAAAATACAGGTTAAGGGCAACAAATGGTGCCAGAGGACAGAGTGTGGGAGATCAGAGAGAGAGGACTGTTGATTTATGCAGAGAGAAAGGGGGTCAACACCAGGCATCACAGAGAAAATGACACGTAAGCAAAGACCTGAAAGAAGTGAAGGGATGAGCATTGAGGATATCCATGCAAAGAAGGGAATTTCAGACACAGCCCAAGGTAAAAGAACCTGGACATGTTCCAGGACAGCAAGATGACAGCATGGCTGGAGCAGAACCGGTGAGGGGCAAAGTGGGGGCCATCGTAGGTAGGCTACCCTTAGAGCCATGGCTTTTACTCTCAAAGAGATGAACAGCCACTCTAAGGGTCTAAGTGGAGGAGAAACACAATCTCACTTAAGTTTCAAAATAATCACCCCAGCTTCTCTGTTACAGTAATCTTTAGGACTACAAATACAGAAGTAAAGAAGTTATTTGAATAATCTAAGTGAAAGAAGATGGTGCCTTGTATCAAAGTAGGTGAGAACTGGTCAAATTCTGGATACATTATTAAAGTAGAATGACTATGATTTGTTGATGGATTTGAAACAGAATGTGCAATAAAGACAGGAGTCAGCAAGGACACCTGAGCACCTGAAAATACGGAGTTGCCGTTAAACAAAATTACCTAACTGGGCAGATCCAGGGAAGCAGGTGGGAGGAGGAGGATGCAAATCCACAGTTCCGTTTAGGTGCTCTTAGGCTGGAGGTGCCTATCAGCCAGCTGAGAGATCCTCTGAGAGCATTTAAAGGTACAAATGGCCTTCACTCCCCCCACAAACAAATCCATACAAAGCCACCCCTTAGGAGAACAGGATGCATCTACTGAGATCAGGCCCTTTACAATGCTGAAGATACTTGTCAGTGAAGCATCTGACGGTAGCCTAGGTGTGATCTTCTACAGTAATTTTTCAGTTTGGGGTGGAAATGGCTACCTAACAGCCAAGCTGCTAGACACAGAATAGTATTTGTCTTTCTCTTGGTGAAACTGGTTGGTTTCCCTAGGTTACAATTATAATGGCCTCCAGTTACACCCCATCCAAATTCTTCCATGCCTGCCGTAACATCTTCCATATGTCCACAACTTTTATATACTCAGAGAATGGCCATTCTTACATTTGTGCAGTTTTAAACTACATGTGTTTTCTGAATTTGGATGACATTGCTTTTCAAATTTAAAGATAAACAGATGCAGTTTGTAAGATATGACTGACAATATATGTGCTTAATGAATCAGAGGGGGCAGCCGCTTCAAAACAGTGGACCAAATATGCCGGTGAACACTCTCCCTACGCTGCTAAGAACTGGCCAGATTCATCCAGAAAACTGCATAAAACCTTTGCCAGAATTCACATGCACACCAAGAAAGTAGCAAGAATATTTTGTTTAAACAGTACTAGATGTTATTCACTCTTGTTTTAAGTTAAAATCCAATGGGAAAATCATTTCTTTTTATTAGGTCTAAACATCATGTACACAATATAAAGAAAACATATTCTGATAATATATCTCAGAAGACTCTGTATTGCTATATGATAATATTATCATTAATAATTTCTTGATAACTGAAAAAATACATGGTTTGGTTGCTTTGTTTGAGAATTGACATCTTTTGTTCTATGCACATAAATTCTCATACTGAGTTCATAACCATATGTACCTGATAAAAAGCAGTAACCAGGACCAAGTCATCATAGAGCAATTGAGCTAAAATATAAAAGCTGATGGTACACTTCCTGGATAAAGACTCAACCAGAATTCAGACTTTGAGCTTTACCTTAAAAATGCAAAGAATGTAACCTAATCATATATATCCTCATTGTTCATCTGAAATTAAAAATAAAGTAAAATAAATTTTTCACAGACTGCATTAAAACAAGATTTTGAAAAGGAACAGCTATTCTTACACATTTCCACAAGAGGGCAATAAACTCACATTTGCTTCCTCTGTTCAAGGTTCCCATAGTTACAGGATTTTGTCATAACATCAAACATACCGGGACCAAAACACTGCCTATTGTTCCCTTGTAGATTTTTTATACACAAGATGTAAAAACCTGATTTTTTCTCCCTTTATGTTCTTCAACTGAATTCAATAAATTAGAAAAATAGAAAAAAACCTCAATATGTCCTTGGTAACCTCAATTTGTCCTTTATAAAGGACAAATCATGGATGAAATATGACATATTGTATCTAAATTACTGTTATTTAGACAACATACATTATACAATGTTTAATAATATCCTTCTAAAATATGTCTGTCAGCAATTTATGTTCAGAAGGTAAAATCAAGCTGACAATTAATATATAGTAAATGGTACAAAAAAGTATTTTCTTAACATTCTCATAAAAGTCTTAGAAAGCTCAGTGAGCTTTATAACTGTGTTCCTAACCACACAGTACATTTTCTGTTTATTTTTGTTTAGTTTTAAAAGTTTCTAAAAGTAAATTTACTAGTTAAAACAATTGAGGCAGGATTCTGAGTCCTATTCCTGATCTAGGTACTATAAATTTCCTAAAAGTTATTTTTCCAACCTTCCTTAAATGACATGGGTAGCCAGTATTTTCTTAGGTTCTCAGGTCCAGTAGAGCCCTTAGAAGGCACTAATATCTTTTCTCTGATTCCCACAGTAAGATTTTTGGAAAATCAGAAGGCAGTGTGGAACAAGTATTAAGCAAGATGCTTACATTATGGCTTTGGATTGAGATTTTAAGAAGAGAGAGGAGGAAACATAAATTTTATTTTTTATCTCATTCTTTTCTCCAGTATAAATTTGCTGTCACAAATGTCAATAGGTGCAGCTGTACTATTCCTAGGTGACAGCTGTGCTTGTCTTGAGATCAGATATAACAATTTTACTGCTGAAAAGGATGGCAATGTTTCTTTTTCCTAATAAGAAAACAGAAGCTGTCATATGTTAAGAATGGATTCAACATTTGCAAAAGTCTCTGTAGTCAAAGAATTTATTTCATAAATTTATATCTTTATTTACAGTAAGTAAAATGGTCTTTGAGAACAAACAACAAGCAAAAAGAAGTCTTCCCTGTCCTCAGGCATATGACCCCCTTCTCTGAAAGTTATTTAACTCATTCTTATATATTCTCCTTTAGGCCTAATATCCCTACTCCTGTATCCTGACCAGAAGCGCCCCTTAGGTAGCCTACCTAGATTTTCCAGTCTTTCCCATTTAGATCTCTTTTCTAGATTTAAGATATGCCCATCTAACCTCCCTCCCTTAGATAATTCTATCCAAGCCTGTTGTACATCACCTTCTTTGGGGGCACACCTCTGAGCTCTAAAGGTCCACGCCTTCTTCAGTACCAATTCTTTCAGCTTGCATTCTCCCTAGTGTTTGTGTTTTCCTTTCTCAAAGAAAAAAAACATACCTATCACATTCCCTAACAAGAAGCTGGGCTACATTTGGCCTCCCCCATGAACCTGAAAGGTCTTATGACTCACGTTTCAATTGCCTTAATATTTCCGGTGGCTGGCAAACAGCAGACACTCAATAATTGCTTATTAGATGGAAAAACCACATCTCTAACTTGGTAACTGAAAGAAGTATTCATGTTTGCCAACAAAAATTTAACAAAACTAAATTAAAGGGCTGGCTTGTTCTGTGCCAAAAAAAAAAAAAAAAGTAAAACAAACAAGAAGGAAATGAGATGATTTAGCTTAAATAGAATGCTGGGGAATGAAACAGTAGCTTTATAAGAGGTTGCAAAACAAATGAGAGACGGCCACCTGTGTATCGCCATTAATGCAGGACGGAGGAAGTGGATGTATTCCCATGTTACACATCAGCAAACACGCTTTGATAGTGAAGGGTATGAGAAAGGAAGTGAGGCCCCAAGGAAGGATGGACTCTGTTCCTTGGAGGTCTCTGGGGACAGACCCTCCTACAAATTTGCTGTGAGTTAGGTGGGATTCTAGCTGGGGGAAAAAGGGGCCTAAACATGTATGTCTTTAAGGTTACTTATAGCCTTTTGTCCTTATGCAAGGAGCTGAGAGTTTCCATTTACTGAAATTTCTATTAACCTATGAAAATATGGAAATGAATATAAAGAGGTAGGAGTGGAAGTATTATCAAGAACTAAAGATCCACAGAAATAGAAACCACAGTTACCCAAACCACTTCTGTCTAAGGCAGGATGAAACTAGAAAAATTCTTCAAATTATCACTGTAAGGTATTAGAATTCCAAAGCCTCTGTTTTCTGCAACTCTAATTTAAAATCTTCTGCAGCATAATTCACAATTACAAAGACGTGGAACCAACCCAAGTACCCATCAATACATGAGTGGATGAATAAAATGTGGTATATGTATACCAAGGAGTACTACTCAGCCAAAAAAAAGAAAAAAAAAAAGCCGGTTAAATAATACCTTTTGTAACAACTTGGATGGAACTGGAGACCATTTTTCTAAGTGAAGCTTTGCAAGAATGGAAAAACAAACACCACATGTGCCTGCTATTAAATTGGAACTAATTAATCAACACTCATGTACATATGTGGCATTAAAACTCAATGGAAAACAAGTAGGTAAGGGGGGGGTGTAAATTCACACCTAATGGGTATAATGTTCCCTCTGGGTGAGGGAACACTTAGTACTTTGATTCAAATTGCACAAAAGCAATTCATATCACCAAAACATTTGTGCCCCCATAGTAGTCTCAAACTTAAAAAAAAATACAAATAAAATCTTGGTTTGTAAAACATAAAAAAAAAAATTCAGACCTATCACTGATTTAAAATTTCTTGACATAAAATAGGAATTTTTACTGTAGTGCATTAGAGACAAAGAAAATAAGTTACTGAGAGAATGAATGGTACAAATAAATTTTTAAGCACTTACTGAAGTCCATGGCATGTTGACAACGCAACAAACGAGGCAGGGTTTCCTCGGATATGGCCCTGGTAATAACAGTGCTCTCCTCCCTGAAAATAGAAATAGAGGATGTAAGCCTTTGCCATCAAAGGGAGAATTAGCTGCATCATTTTACAGGCGGTTTCTGCTAACACTGCACCTCTGTATCTAAAGCTCTGTAATATTTCATTATTCAGATTAGTGTTATCAAATTATTTCTAACAGAATTATTCATAAACGGTCCAAGCAAGCCGACTCCAAATTAAAAGATGGGGAAATAAAAGCTGACTTAACTTTCCTTTTATGTAGGTAATATTAAAGGAACAAAGAAATAGATATTGAAATAAACACGTGGGCCTAGCACCAAAGTAAGTTTAATCATCTGTTTCCCTAGTTATCTGAGACTCAACCTTGAACAGCTGCAAAGCAATGCTCTCACATACAGCTAAGTCAAAATGAATATAAACCATCTGAAAGTCCCTAAATTGTACTGATGGAGGGAAATGCCTGCTTTTACAGTGTTATATCAAAACTTGACTGCCAGAGAAACAAATTTTATACTATTCTTTGTTTTAAGCCAGGAATGGCTTGACTGGTAAGCAGCCTCAGGCAGACTTTGAAATTATGAAGTTTCTTCTAGCAGCCAGTCACATTAACTAAAACCTACTGAGACATAATATTTTTTAATTATTAAATGTTCCTGGAAAAGGAAATAGGGCAAATCCTCTGCCATCTTAGGGTATTACCTTTAAATACTTGCTATTCAGAGTATGGTGCAGAGACCAGCACCAAGGACATCACCAGGAGCTTGTTAGAAATGCAGAATCTCAAGCTTACCCCAGACCTAATGCATCAGAATCTGCATTTTAACAAGATCTCGAGGTGATTCATATGCACATTAAAATTTGAGAAGTTCTGTTCTAAATGACCTTTCCCCCATTCTCTCACTAATCTTCTATTTCTTCAGTAGCTGAAAGCGTCTAATTAAATTGACTCACTGAGATGTGAGTGAAATAGGAAGGACCTACAGAATGGGTGGTTTAAAGGGGCAAATGTTACTTACTTTACTTTGGCTTAAGGACTAACCCTACTTAAAATATTTAGTGCTTCACCAGTGGAGGAGAGAGAACAGGAAGGCATGAAGAGCTAACAGGGCTGAAAACATTTTCTCCACCAGAATTCCAAGAACAGTAGCATGCCGAACAACTGCTGCTCCTCCTGGGATAATCCCACAGAAGCTGGTGAATCTCAGCTTCGGGAATGAGGCAGGAAAGCATGTAAGAGGGCACACAATGCTACCTTTACCCTGGGATGCCCCTCCAAATTCCCAGGAGAGTCACTGAACTTCAAGAACTGAGGATTGTAATTAGATTTGATGGAGGAGGCGAAGACAGGATGGTATTTCACATCGGAATCAGACATGGGATGGAACTTAAGAAGGCTACTTGGACTTGAGGGCAGAAACAGAGTGCCAGACAACAGGTCACAGGACACTGACTTTATGAGGAGGATCATTGTAACACAGACGTTAACTGCACATGACTGTTGAGCGCCTTCCTTTACTAGGTGTGTAATCCCAAGCAAGTGAGAGAATCTGCCTGTGCCTCAATTTCTTCGTCTGTCCACTGGGGATATTTACCTCACAGGATTGTTATGAGAATTAAATGAGCTAATAGGCATTCAAGGTTTAGAGTAATGCTTGGCCCCTGGGAAGCACTCAATAAATGTTCACTGCTATTATAATTACTTTGCTATTCTACTCAATTTACATACACAATCAGATTAAAATTTCACATTAATCCTACAAAGAAATAGTTATCCTTATTCTGCCTAAGAGGCACAATCTCTAAGAGCCAAGGTTATCTACCTGGAAAGTTGCCAAGTACGGACAAAAACTTTTTTTTTTTTTTTTTTTTTTAGACAGAGCCTCAAGCTGTCCCTGGGTAGAGTGCCATGGCATCACAGCTCACAGCAACCTCCAACTCCTGGGCTCGAGCGAGTCTCCTGCCTCCGCCTCCCAAGTAGCTGGGACCACAGGCGCCCACCACAACGCCCGGCTATTTTTTGGTTGCAGCCATCATTGTTGTTTGGCGGGTCCGGGCTGGGGATTCGAACCCGCCACCTTAGGTGTACGTGGCTGGTGCCTTAGCCCGTTGAGCTATAGGCGCCAAGCCGACAAAAACTTTATGTGAATACAAGGCCTGTGTTCTTTTCCTACACTATTTATGAGTTGAACCTAGACCTATGGGTTATGCAATGTAAATCTAAATTTTCTCCTAGGCAGATTTATTTTTTTTTATTATTTTATTCTATTCTGTTCTGTTCTATTCTAGTCTATTCTATTTTTTGAGTAGGGCTGGGGTAAATTTAACAGAAGTTAAAATATCTTCTGTTGAGCTGTTGGACTGGTGAACTATGCACAGATTAGATTCTAAGTACATCAGAGGACATTAAGATTCAGATGACTCTGATTTCTGGACAAATCTGACTGGACTAACCCTCTAGCATTGTACTGGCCAGGCGTGAAAGATCAATAGTCAATGAGGTGACATGGACGGAGAGAGAACTGTCCATGTTTCTTATTTTAGACAATAACTAACCCAGTCAGACCTTCTCCTCTCAGAAGAGAAGACAGTGAACAGTAACACTTAAGAGAAGTAGAAACAGAAGATAACTGAAATAAGATACCAGATTAGGAAACAAAGGGAGTTAATAATTAATGGGGAGGATATGTCAGTGTTAAAACGCGGGAGAATTTTTATAAATTACTAACATTGTCTTTAAAAAATCAATTCTGCCGGGCTCCATGGCTCAAGTCTGTAATCCTAGCACTCCAGGAGACCAAAGCAGGTGGACTGCCTGAACTCAGGTTCGAGACCAGCCTGAACAAGTATGAAACCCCATCTCTAAAAAATAGCTGGGTGGTGTGTCAGGCACCTGTAGTCACAGCTACCTGGGAGGCTGAGACACGAGAATCACTTGAGCCCAAGAGTTTGAGGTTGCTGTGACCTATGATGGCACAGCACTCTATTGAGGGCAACAAAGTGAGACTCTATCTCAAAAAAATAAAAAATAAAAAATCAACTCTGGAAACATGTCATATAAAATTGCAAGAAGAACAAAGAATTCATTTTTTAAAACATGCTTCTGTTATATTGGAGAGAGTTAAATAGATGATTAGATAATAGAAAACAATCTTTCACTAATTTCTGATTCTGAAAAACAGGAGTCAATCCAAAAACAGCATATGATCAGGAGCCATCTGTATAAAGCCTAACGCTGCAAATGAACTGAAGAGCTCAATATGGTTGAGTCAGTATCAAATGTTTCCATGACACTTCAAGAGAAGCATAAACAACAGGGTGAAAAAATCTCCTCAAATTGAGCTTCTATAATTCAATTTTTGAGGCTCTCAACTGGTAGTATAAGTCATTTTTATAAATAATAGTGGAAGTTCATTATTGCATTATAATGTTTTTCAGGGATTTGTTCTTATGAATCAGTAATTATTTAAACCAAAAAGTAACAAGGTTTGGGGGGTTGAGGCTTTAATGCCAAAAGTCTTCTTCAATTTCTATGAATAAATCAAATAAATTTAATAGATTTTTTACATAATTATTTTACCTATTATTTTTAAGCAATACACACATGGGACAACAATTCTAAGAAATGAGAGGGCAGATGGTACAGAATAAAACTGTTCCCCTCATACATACCATTCAACTGTAGTTTCCTTCTAAAATGCAAACATTCTTGGCAGATTTTGTACACCACAGAGCAAATAGTCTAGACACAGGTGAGTAGATGTAGATAAACACAAATAACACACATATCCCCTTCGGGACAGAAGTGGTTTTACACTATGCACACTGTTTGAACTTGATATTTTCTCCTTATGGAAAGCTTAGCATCTTTCTGTATCATTACCTTATTTTTTATGGTGGCATAATATTTCATTATAGGGTAAACTATAATTCATATACTCCTATACTAATGAACATGTAGATAATCTTAATTTTTTGCTGTTTTAATGGAGCAACATTCTTTCATATATTTCTGTGCACTTCAGTCAGTATATATGGAGGAGAGAATGACAGGTATGGATCTGACAAGTGAAAGAGTAAGTGTAGTTTATATTTTAATAAAAGGAAAAATATAATTGTATATCTTTGTACTTATATCTGTGTTAAAATATGCCTTACATATAAAAGTCATAAAAGTGAATTTTATTAAAAATTACAGATCCCAATGAAGACCACTAAAACCAGCTTTCTTTTTTTTTTTTTTTTGAGACAGAGCCTCAAGCTGTCCCCCTGGGTAGAGTGCCGTGGCTTCACAGCTCACAGCAACCTCCAACTCCTGGGCTCAAGTGAGTCTCCTGCCTCAGCTTCCTGAGTAGCTGGGACCACAGGTGCCTGCCACAATGCCTGGCTATTTTTTGGTTGCAGTAGTCATTGTTGTTTGGCAGGCCTGGGCTGGATTCGAATCTGCCACCTTAGGTATATGTGGCTGGAGCCTTAGCCACTTGGGCCACAGGCGCCAAGCCTAAAACCAAATCTTAAAGTCTTATTGATTATAAGTGTTCTCCACATCTTAAAGTCTAAAATCTTAAGTCTTATTGATTATAAGTGTTCTCCACATTTTCATAGAACTTCTGAGGAAGCCAAACGTATGTTGTATGGAAGTATTATATATATAAAATCTCAGACAAATGTTATAGGGAAAGAAAAATGCCAGCACATCCTAATAGATTTGGCTGCCAGTCACAGCTTTTCTCCTTACTGTCTCCTTTGTTCCAGAAATAAATCCATTGTCCTTGAAACTTTCTTCATACTCCATGATTTAATAACAGTTATAACAGTACAGATGCTTATTTTTAGCTAATTAGATAGTTATAGCTAAAAGAATATCCACCTCTATAAAAATGAATTATATGATAGTTCACATATCGATTAGTTTATCATCCCAGTGGGAGGAGGGAAACTTACTGCAATTTTTATTCTAAGGAATTCAAAATAACCATTCACTTGTAATTTAAAGACATAACACATTTTTATTAAACAGCCAGCGA